TCTCAAAACGGCGTCGTTTTTCCCCCTGCAGAACGACATTGTTTGTTCCTTTTTAAAAGGACGTCATTTTCTCCCCTCTGCAAAACGACATCGTTTTCCTCCCCTCTCTCCTTTTTTTTTTTTTTAAGTCATTACATTAACTGTTGCAATGCGTTAGTCTACCACTACAACACGTTTAGAGTGGAATCTTACACCAGCGGGGAGTCGCATAGAGGAAAAATTAAACCAAAAAGTCAAACGAATTTTTGTATAATTATTTATAAAAACTATATTTATTATTTGAATAAATTTTATATATTTTTTTGTTAGATTAAGTGTGCATGAAAATGGTTATAAAATTCTATTTGATTACAAATTTTAAATTGTGTTTTTCGTACTTATAAATAATTTTTAGTATTTTGTTTTAATATTTCTATTCAGTAACTAACTAAAAATTAAGGTATATTAATAAGAAATAAATTTAGTCTTTAATTTTCAATTAAAAAAAAAAAAAATTTCATGTCCTTATTTCGTGATTATAAATTTTGATTTACGAAATCGATTGGTTTAGATTAATTTTGTATTTTTTTTCTAAATTTAGCCTTACAATTTTTTTGGAAGACCCGACAAACATTAAATAACACAGACCACAAAGTCAGAAATGAAGAATTAGAAAGGAAGAAGAACTGAAAGCTGGCCGAAAACGCGTCGTTACACTGCACTTGAAGCTGCAGGGGCATCGTCGAAGCTCCACAGATCACTCACCACGAATTTCCTGTGCAGTAGTATTCTGCTCCATAGGTTGTCTGTCGAGATTCGGAACCTGATAGAATTTCATGTAGTTCTCCCACGCCATAGCTCCTCTGACAATTTCTGCACCTCGTTTTATTTTCTCCTCTGCTTCCACCGTCTGCTCTTCTTCCTTCACCCTCACTCCGCCATAATCTGATCTGGACTCGATCCCAGTACCAGAGTTTTTCTCGCAACAATAAATGACTACTTTATTTGTCGTCGCATTAGCTCTTCGGTTTTGAGTCTGACACAGAGGAAGAGCCGGATTCCAGATAGCAGGTGGGTTGTGGTTGTAGTCTTGAGTTTGGGTTGATCCGCCGAACTCATCGTCTTCATTGGAGATATTGACTTCCGCCTTCTTGCCGCGGATCTTGCGGGCCTCTCTGTCGTAGGCTAGGGCTGCTTCCTCGGCAGTGTTGAAGGTACCCAGCGGAACACGGACTCCTCTCGTCGGGTCACGAATCTCCGCAGCCCATTTTCCCCATGGTCGTTGCCTGATCCCTCTGTAAAGATTCTTCCTCTGCCTCTTCGCCCTCTTCTCCATCTGCTTCTCATCACCTGTTTTGAAAAATTCCAGAGTCAGGACCTACAACCAAAAACAATGCAGGAAGAAATACGGGCACCTGATGTCGGTAGAGTCCTCTTGAGGGAGACGGGTTCGTGGCGAGTTGGTTCCGGTCGATTAAGTTTCTTATCCGAGTCATTACAGTCGGAATTGGCAGGAGTGGAATTGGGCCAGTGCTCAACAGCGGTGATTATCCGGCTGCGAATACGACGAATAAAATCGGCGACAATAGCACCGCCACACATGTTCGGATGGAACTTGAATCGAAACAAATAATAATGTTAAATGAAGCAGATTGTACAGGATTTATGAAGAAGGTGCAGAAGAATACGAAAGGAGGGATTTAGGGAGGATAATTAAGGAGTTTGGAAATGAACAAGTGTGAAGTAATGAAGAGGGGAGAGGTTTTCATGGTGGGAGGGAAAAATGAGAAGGATAATTCACGTCGGGGAAGTTGCTTTGGAACTTTCTTAAAATTTGCCATTTTTGTTTTGTCTTTTATAAAATAAAATAAAAAAAGATTTTTACGGTAAACAATGTCATAAATTAAATAAACTTTTATTTAATTAGATATTGAATTTCTTTTCCATTTACTTAAAAAAATATTTTATGTTATAACTACGAGATTTATTATAAAATTTTAATTATAACATATAAATGAATAATTGGTTGCTCATTAATTGAATATTATTCAAATTAAAAATAAATATGCACATTTTTTTTAATCCTCATACCTTTCTAAACATCCACT